AGGGGCCTACCTCGTATTCACACCCCGGGTCTCAAACCTTCTTGACTGCGATACTGGGCTTCTCATCCTTTGGACAGATTTTCCAACGGGTCTGGTATCAGCTCAGGACTGTTTAGCTGACCTTGTTGTTGTTTTACTGTGTGGTGAAAAAGGTTAAAATTTCCGAAAGTGGGCCCCCTAAGTTGATTTAGTATCAGACAATATAAAAAAAACTGGAATCTTGACTTATTTTTGAATGGATTACTTGCCTATTAACTGGGACAGCATTTTCAGTTAATACCTGTTATGTTCAAGGATGCATTGGGGATTTTTTCTCTCCGAGCTTCACAAAAGCTTTAGTAGATAACGATGCACCATGGAAAACTATAAGGGTAAAAGGGTAGACATCTCCCTGCCGGGGCATGCAGCTCCTGAACTTATTGACCTCTTTAGGAAAAGGGACAAAGCATGGACAACATACCATGCTGGACAAGAGACAATGGCTGACTGGGAAATATATAGAAAAACTGAGAAATCTAAGCAAAACTAAAACTTCTAATGCCAAAGCTATTTACTACAGAGAATGCCTGACTGGGATTTAAAAATTTTCCCAAAGAATTCTGGGGGAGAAAAAATTAAACAATTATTAACATCTCTGAAAAAATTTCAATTAATCAAATTAATTCAAATTAGGCTTGATGGCAATATTTCTTACATGATTCCACTATCTAATTTCCCAGGTCTTCAACAATCATTTCCGTCTGTCTGCTCCTACTTCCTTCTCCCTGACCAGTCAACCGACTACCAGTTCTCCTGGTTAATATGCCACCTTTACCAGTTCTTTTTCCTTCGGAAAATACGACCAACTGAAGTGCAGCAAAGTAATTGTTGAATTAAAGGTAAGGCAGTGGTGCTGGACTGATTGGGGTTGAAAATCGTTTTCTCAATCTAGCCGCCAATATTATTATGTACCCTCTTACTGATTTATTCAACCTGTCACTTGTCTCCAGCGAACTACCCACTTATCTGGAAATATGCACTATTATTCCTCTTCATAAAAGTGGGTGATTCAGCTTGATTGCAATAATTACAGGCCTATCTCCATCCTATGCTCTGTTGCCCAAAATATTTGAAAAAATCATCTTTAACCAACTTCACCATACCTTAGTATTAAACAACATTCTCACACCCCTTCAATCTGGTTTTAGATCAAAATCATTCTACAGCTACTTGCCCTACTTAAATTCACAAATTGATGTGGTTCTCTGCAGCTGATAGAGGGGAGTTAACTTGGTGCCATCTTTATTGATCTTTACCAAAGCTTTTGATGTTGTTTGATCGCGTATTTACTACTTGATAAAATTATATGCTATTGACTTTCTAGAAGTGGCATTACTTTGGTTAGCTCATATTCTACATATTTTTTTTTTTTTTTTTTATCGAAAACAGTGTGTTATTTTGAATGGGAAAAGTCTGATCTCCGTTATACAGGCATAGTGGAGTACCTCAGGGCTCTACACTTGGGACCACTTACTTTTCACCATTAATAAACAATTTGCCCTCCAGGTTTTCAAAACGTTAATGTCCATCTATATGCAGATGATACCGTTTTACCATCAAAACCAAATCTCCTCAAATTCAAGTTTCCACTCCAGTCAGATTCACCCTCCTGCAAGACATCCAGGAACAAACTTGAACCAAAACTAAATCCTTTCTAATGATCTTTGGTACCCGACACAAACATCCAAATTCTTTGACTGGCTCATGTGATATTTCTTGCAATGATGGTACAATTCTGCAAGAGTTGACAGTTTTAAATATTTAGGGTAATGGCTTGACTCTAACCTTTCATTCAAACCTCATATTGATCATATACTGCCACTAAAGTAAAACTTTTGGTCTCGGTCTCTTTACCGCTCTCAGGCACTGTTTTACCTTAAAAGTTAGGAAAAAACTTGCTACCCAACTGCTATTTCCCTTATTTAGACTATTGGACGTGTTTTATCTCAAATGCTTCCGAAATCATGTTCTAGCCCCGCTAAACATTGCTTAATAGAATGTGTAGATTTATTCTCGGTTTGTGATTTCCATACACACCCACTGTGCACTGTACCTAAACCTTCAATCTCCCTTCTCCTGATTTGAGAAGACATTTGCCACTGGCTTGAGTTCATTTATAAAAGTTTCAACTTATAATTATCCCCATATTTGAAACAGTTATCTCTTTTGTTTTACATCAACCCACCAAGTTAGACATACCTCTCAGCTCTCTTCTTCACCGTTTCCTCTTAGTTAAAAAGGACATTGGCAAAACGAGCCTTTCAAATTAAAGGCTCCTGCTGATTGGAATAACTTACCCTGTACCATAGATCTCTCCTACATCCTGACTTTGTTCAAGCGTGCATTGTTCGCGTTCACCTCAAGGTTGAATGTTTTTGTATGACCTGAAGCTACTTTATTATTGTTTAAGGTTGTTGAGTGCTGCCATCTTATTTCACCATTCTCCTCATTGAGATGACCCACTAATTGCCATTCTAAGTCTTTATTTCTAAGTCTTTATTGTATGATTTGTTATATATTTAGTACAGCTACTTACTTTACTCTACCCAATGATATGCATTCAATGTAACCGCCTATTAATGTATTACCATGTGCTGTATGCTTTAGGCTGAATGTTTGAATTTCTTGGTTATTTCTTCCGATGTATGGTGTGAATGTTGTTTGTATGTTGTACTTGTTTGTTATTTGTTTTCTTGGGACCCCCTTGAAAACGAGGTGATTCACCTCAAGGGGTTTATCCTAATAAAGAAATTTGAATATGGTATGATAATGGTGTACTGGGAACTGACGTTACATTGTCACCACCTAGTGGGGAACATCTTTTAATGTAAGTGTTTAACAAAATATTACACAACAAAAAAATATTGTTTTTGTAGTATTGTTTTAGATTTGTGAAGCATTTTATGTTTCCTTTTGTGTATGAACAGTGCTGTATAAATAACGTTTTATCAATTGGTTGGTTGATTGATTGATTAGTGTTTTTCTCAAAATAAATAACAACAATGCTACATTTCTCAAGGAAACCTGCAAAAACTCTGAGACAAAATTCTAAAACATTTTTTATTCTTATTTAAAGTTGCATAAAAAGGCTACATAGTAAATGTCAAAACAAAATTTTTAGAAAGTTCTTCAGAAAAATACAACATGCCACCACACAATTGAATAAAGAAGTAATAATAACAGTCCAATCAACAATTACATATAGAAATTATAGAAATCTGAAATCAAATAAAAATAAAAGCCAGTTTATAAACACTAGTATTTATTGTAAATACATATGATCCTAACACTTTAAATATTCTTCATAATCATTACTTCTTTATATAATCATACATTGTGTTATTTTTATTTTTTAAATAAAACAAGGATCTACCTTCAAAACCATATCTGTATTCGCTTGTGTGATGCATGTTATTGTCGATAAATCATCAGTCATCATGATAATATCTGGTTAAAGCGGATCTCCATCGAAGCAGTTTAAAGGGGCGGGGCCTCGCTGCTCTGACAGCGTAGAGGTTAGGATGGCGGCACACTGCTCATCTCTGTTCCTCCACAACGTATAGATGCTAACTGGATGAACTGGATTTGTGAGTCTTCGGTGACTTCCATCAACACTTCTCTTCTACAGAGGCAGAGCCATGCGCCTGTGGATGTGTGTGTTTTCTGCGCTGATCCTATGCGAAGATGGGAAAGCGAACGGAGCGTTCACTCCGCCTGGACATCCTCTGCATATCAATGACGGCAACTTTTCAGACCAGGATCACATGAAACAAGAGGCTTTTCAGAACCAACAAGTGCTGCTCCCGCTGTCAGGTCTGTGTGTGCTTCACTGTGTCACCATCACTGCAATCTTATCGGTGTAAAACTGAACGTGTTTCGTTAGAGCTGGGAATAAATAACATTGCAGCTGGATTATAAGGATGTTGTGTCGAATTCTGCCATTTGTTGTTATTTCGACTTCATCACCCATCACAATACCGTGTCTTTCTAATATATTTTAGTATAAATATCCTTTATTTAGTCGGATCAGACCATCTGTGCCAGGATTTACTTGCATATCCTCTGATCATGAGTAGCCTAACCCTAACAAGTGGCGTGGGAGCTTGCTGCTGTCCCCTCATGACTAACGGTTTGTCCATCTGCTCCTATTTATCTGCAGCATCACTACCAAGTTAACAATGTGCATTTGCAATATTATCACAATATTAACATCATAAATTCTTGGGAACATTTTCATAAAAGCACTAAAAGGCTACTTATAAAAGTACATTTTGTTTTGGGTGTTCAAAAAGCATGACAGAAGGCCCATAATGTTACTAACTGCATTATCATTTTAATCAAATCAAATGTCAGCAGACTCATTCTTCTCTCCAAGTTGTTCCCTTTTTCAAGTTATTCAATTTATGTGCTTTTGTGATTTTCAAAGAAGAAAACCCCCCTGCCCCCCCACAGAGTGCATCTCTCTGTGTCTCTCAGTCGCACACAGATGCATGCACTTGTCATGACAATGTTCTTGTTCACAGCTGAGTGGCGGAGAGGACAGAAAGAGCGATTTGTGACCCTTTTTCATCAACTGATTCATGACTAATTCATGCTGCTGTAGGAGTACATTACCATCCGTCATCACATGATCCTCCTAGTCTGTGTTGTTGACTAAAGCACTTGGAAATGCACCCAAGCATGCTGTTGTCCCACTGTAGCCTCCCTCCTCCCCCCCCTGCCACCAGGCGCTGTTTCCTGCCAAACCTTCTCGTCTTGGCCTCCCTTCTATACAAAGTAAGCTCTCAGGGGAAATGACTGGACACTTTATACTTAAAAATCAAATAGAATATCTAGACATATAAATGTACAAAACATACATTAACAAGTAACAACAGGAACTAATGTAAGGGCAGCAGATAACGTTGGGGTTGTCCCACTCTCAATAGCTTTAAAGGTAAACTCAAAGAATTGTTGAGAAACTAACAGACGTGCATTCACCGCTAAATGCTCTTTAATACAAGGGTACCTTCTCTTGCACTTTATTTGTCGTTGCTGCTATATTGTATTACCATGTCATAAATACCTTTGTATGCTGCTCTTGCTCTTTGTGCATATCATGTATTTATTTTTTGCTATTTTTATAAATGTCATGTTCTTATGTATGTTGTATGTCAGGGACTACGGATGGAAATGAGCTCAAAGCTAAAATCCGGCATTTTTACACTTGAAGCATTAATTGTCTTAAAGGTGGGGTATGTAATTTATTTCTGATTTTTTTTTGTTGATAATCCATGGAATGATCTTAACATCCCAATAGCAATGAATATATGAAATGCTT